CTTATGTGCTCCTACGTGTTCCTATGTGTTTATATATTTTTATATGCTTTGCTTATTCGATTTAAATGCTCATTCGAATTTTCTTATATTTGTTTAGTTAATTCTTATAATTATTTGTGAGGCATTTAAATACCTCAAAAATGTAATAGATAGGATAATTAGATTTGTTTTATTTTATTTTTCCATTTTAGATTGTAGTTAGGTTTCTCGTTGTAATAGGTAGGTTTCGTGTGTTTATGTGGTTTATATGTTATGTGCTTTATCCGCTTTTCTTAGGATTTTTGCATATAGATATTATGTTTGTGTTACGTGCTATGTGCTTTTATGTGTTTATTTGTTTTGATTTATGCCTCATCTGTTTTACTATGTATTATTAATGCATGGCGTCACTACACTAGTCCAACGCTAGTTGTGGCTTCTCCCTCCGTTTACTTGCTAGTTCAATGCTAGTAAGGATTTTTAGAAATGGGCTAGTCCAGTACTAGACCCTTAAATCATTCATGCGTTAGATTCATCTTTGTGTGATATTCATTACATTTTCACGCATATTTTTTATTTTTAGGATCTTTTCTCATTTACATGATATTGTCTATTATATTATTCTCTACTCCATATCCTCTATATGTGTTAATCATGTCATTTAGAATTGTATCTCATTTAAGTTAGTTCATTTGCTTGTCTATGTTAGGAGAATTATTTTTTGAACATGGAAAATGGGTGATTATAATTTTTTACTTTAAATACCCCATTAATTTCATTTTCTCTTGTTTTTTCAAAGACCCAGAGTTGTCAAAAAGGGTTTTGTTTTATTTTCAAAGATCCAAAGTTTCATTCTAGGTCCTTTTTCACTTGTTTTTAAATAAAAAACGCCATCTTTTGTAAACACCCTCTTATTTCTATCGCGAAAAAATGGGGCGAGACAATGAGGTTATTGTAGCAAAAATTGTTAAAAATTTGTAACAGATAAATTTGGTAAAAAACTTGCTTGCAAATAGATCCTTAGCCACCACATATCTTGTGGGGGTAGGAGATTACCTTATCTCCCATCAAAAGTTGCTGTTTAATGTGGCTTCTCTAAGATTCATATAGCGCATTATACATCCGTATGATTTGATGGTGGTTCAATTCTTGTGGTCCTGTTGGATCATTCCTTTAATATAGGTTAGAATGGGACCTTCTATTATCGTTTAGAGTAGAACCTGGAGTAGGTGCAGTGGAGTAGGAGCAGAGGTAGAGGTAGGGATAGATGATGACAATAGACAAAAGGAAAAAAAAAAGGGAATGTTCACTTCAAGGTACAAGAGCTCTAAGCAGAGAGAATCACTAGAAAGTACAACCCATTTAAGCAAAGTTGCGCTTGAAAGTAGCTCCGCTGTAGGAACGAAAAGTTTATGTATATGCAAGGAGATAAGGATAAAGATAAGGATATCTGTCGGCTATAAATCTAAAACCCCATCCTCACCCACTGCTGCTATAAATCTAAAACCCTGCTGCTAAAACCCTTTCCCCAAAACCCATCATCCTAAAATAATAACCATTTATTATTATTTTCATAATTTATGAACAGTAATCACGGACAAATTATACTGTAATTTTGCAGAACCATGAATGGAGTCGACGATGATGGCTTTCCAGCTCCTAAGCTCTTCTCTCAGGGCTACTCCTACACCTATGATGACCTCATCTTCCTCCCCCACTTCATCGACTTCTCCACCGATGATGTCTCCCTCTCCTCTCCTCTCTCCCGCAACCTCTCCCTCTCCCTCCCCTTCGTCTCCTCCCCCATGGACACCATCTCCGAGTCCTCCATGGCCTCAGCCATGGCCTCCCTCGGCGCCTTCACCTTCATCCACTCCAACAACTCCCCCTCCCACCAGGCCTCTCTCGTTCGCGCCGCCAAGTCCCACCGACTCCCTTTCTCCTCTGATCTCATCTTCCTCTCCCCTCAGACTCCATCCTCTCCCTCGAAGACTTTGGCTCCTCCCCTTGCATCTTCGTCACCAGCTCTGGCACCAGCCGTTCCAGGCTCTTGGGCCTGGTCTCTCGCTCCGATTGGGAGGCTTTGCCCTCCGAGTATTCCAAGGATGCCAGGAGGGTCTCCGATTACATGAGGAAGGTGGACCGCGACTTCTGTTCCTTGCCCAATGGTTCTACTTTGGAGGATGTTGCTGCCTATTTGGCTGCTCGTAAACTCGATTTCGTCCCCCTGGTCAGGACAGCGGCCCATGACGGCGATGAGGACGAGGTGGTGAACCTGGCCACTTTTTCTGACGTCGAGAGGATCAAGGGGTTCCCCAAGCTAGGCCTCCCCTCCCTCGGCCCGGACGGCAACTTTCTGGTGGGTGCCTCCATTGGGACCCGCGAGTCTGACAAGGAGAGGCTGGAGCATCTGGTCAAGGCTGGGGTCAATGCGGTGGTCTTGGACAGCTCTCAGGGGAATTCCATTTATCAGCTGGAGATGATCAAGTACGTGAAGAGGACGTATCCGGGGTTGGATTTGATTGGAGGGAATGTGGTGACCATGTATCAGGCCCAGAACTTGATTCAGGCAGGCGTTGATGGATTAAGGGTTGGCATGGGTTCTGGTTCCATTTGCACCACCCAAGAGGTCTGCGCTGTTGGCCGTGGACAGGTATTATTACCTCGTCTACCAGTCCTACTGGTTCCTTTTTTCTCTTCCCCTTTTCTGGTTTGCTTTCTTGAGCCCTTTATTTACACATTTGGAGAGAAGCTCCCATTTTTCTGCAATATATGCATTGACAACTGCATAAAGTTTCTGTCTTTATGTTCAAAATCACAGCTTCCCATGTTACCATTTGTGTGCATCGACTTTTTCCAGCTAGTATGCTTTCGTTATAGGAAGGGAAGTTCTTTTACATTTTCCTTGACCGCCCTCCTCTTACCCAATATTTACTCCATCATCATCACTTGTTGCCTTTTGGAGCATCATTTGTGTTGAGTTACTGGAGTATAGTGCCCAGTTATAAACTTGCAATGAGAGGATATTAGGGAATTTAGAACTCTTTCTCGTGTTTGTGAAATCTCAGCTACAGACTCTTTATACAATGATTTCTTTGGAATTTGTTTTTAGGGCACAGCTGTTTATAAAGTATCATCTATTGCTGACCAAAGTGGTATCCCTGTCATTGCCGATGGTGGCATTTCAAATTCCGGGCACATTGTCAAGGCTTTAGTTCTTGGGGCATCAACTGTGATGATGGGCAGCTATTTAGCTGGAAGCACTGAAGCTCCAGGCACTTACCAATATCAGGTTTGGTGGCACACCTTCTTGTTTTATCTATATCCATTACAGCTTATAGGATATTCTTCTCATTCCCAACATTTCCTCTACTGAACATATATTCTGTTATCTTTTTCATCTTTTCCTTTTTTTTTTTGTGCCTTTTTCATGGTATTCTTATGGGATACTTTTTTTATTTTGGGGGGACGGGGTGGGTAGGCATTAGGCCTTCAATTCTTCCTTTATTAAGTTTACAACCTTAATAATAAGCTGAGGAATAATGGTTAGAGCAACATGCTTGTTTTATTAAAATTCTCGCATCTATGATTATCTGTAGGATTTATATGTTATCGAATGAGATACCTGTGGGACAGAGTCTTCATGCTCTCTTGCTGCAATTAAGTTGGACAAAATTAGAATTTTTTCACGGCTCTCCTTTAATAATGCATGGACATGAGTGTGCAAGCACTTGTCATAGCTGCCAAACGCTTCTGCATGATTATGCCACATAATTGGTGCTTTATATCTTTCTTTAGTTTGAATAATTCAGATTTGGAATTACAGGATGGCATTCGAGTCAAGAAATACAGGGGCATGGGATCTTTGGAAGCAATGACAAAAGGGAGTGATGCAAGATACTTGGGTGATACAGCTAAACTGAAAATAGCTCAGGGTGTAGTTGGAGCAGTTAGAGACAAAGGATCAATTCTTAAGTTTATACCCTATACAGTGCAAGCAGTGAAGCAGGGTTTCCAGGATGCTTGGTGCTTCATCTGTTCAATCTGCACATGACCTGTTAAGATCGGAGGTGCTGAGGCTTGAGGTTTGTTTACCACTTCAACTTGTAGCTGTGAAGCGTTACCTTGCTCGTAATCTAACGATTAGTACCTACAAAAACTCACTTGGTGTTTTGTTCTTTTACAGGTTCGAAGTGGAGCAGCACAAGTCGAAGGTGGAGTTCATGGTTTGGTATCTTATGAAAAGAAATCTTTTTGATACCTTAATTGATGCTACCATTTTTTGAAGCCTTTTGCAATTCTTTTTGCTGCGGCCATCTGCAATCCTGTGGTCCGTGTTAATTACAATGCATTGTTTTTTGATGGCTATGGTGGAATCTCTTCTTTTGGTTTGAAGAGCCATCTAGGGCAGAAGCCATATTACTGCATGCACTGCAATTAATTGGCTTTGGATTTCAAGTATCGGCTACTGTTAAAGAGTAGATTATGATTTTTGATATATTAATTTTACTGATTAAGCGGGTAAGTGTGTTGGTTAAATAACAAGGACTTATTTCACTTGCTGCTTCTTTGTATGCACCATATGTGCTCCCTAAATTGGCAGTCTAAAGCATATGATCCCCAGTATTCATCCTAAGGATTGGGGATGAAAGGGGAAAGCGGCAAGGCAGCCAGCTATGCATGTTAGGATCTTTCCATTACAAAGGCAAACGCTCAGCAGTCAGCATCTGCACATGTTTTCGTATCACATGCATGGTAAGTTTCGAAATTTGCTCTTCGAGATATATTCTCTGCCGGGATTAGACAATTTTTAGCTTTGCATATGGAAAAAACGTCTCTTGCATATCTAGGGTGTACAAGCAAGGCTGGCGTGAGAGCAGGGCTGCGGGCTTAAGCAAGTCTCTGTTCCACCAGAAATTTGCAGGAATGAGCTTCGTGGTGGTATAGATAAAACAGTTCTAAGCAGCTGATTCCGAGCTGGAGTGCGCCTTTACTTCTTTGGTTGAATTGGATTGGCCAGCACTAATCTTAAATTAGTTTCATGGCCAGGATTATTTACTGTCTTATTAGCTCAGTGTCCAGGATTAGTTACTGTATTTGGTGGATCCTTTGGAAGAGGACAAGCACCAAAGCAGTAGTTACCCTGAGCCACTTCAGCCTAAACGTTCTTCTATCTAAGAACTAGTCTTTTGCACGAGCTTTTCTTTTCATCTTCGATATTTCTTTCAGATGGTCATGGATACAAAAGCACTAAGATGACAAATTTAATAAATTTTAAAATACTAAATATAAAACAAAATATTGAGACTAAAAGATGTATAAAAATAGTTACCCTTACACAACATAATGATTAATTCTTAACAAACCTTAGAAAGTATAATCAATATTTGATTACTTTTTTAAAAAATTTAAAGAAAAGAAATTAATATGAAAAAATCCTGTAAAGGAAAAAGAACAAAAGATATCCATATAAGCAGCATGCGATCGTGATTGCAAAAAAACAGGTAACTAATTTTGAATTTTCTAATTAGGAGATAGAATATATCTTTTTTTGGTATGCTGGAGAGTGAAAGGAAATTAATTAGAATGAAATTTATAATTGATGAATTATAGGGAAATATGTGTGTGTGTGGGTGTAGGCAAAATCATCAACTTAGAAAAACAGAAACTGAACAGCATTTGGAACTGTAGATTCATGGATTAAAAAAAAAGACAAAATCAATAAAAAAAACATATATAAAGTAGAAAATCACTACGTTGATTGAAATTTGTTATAGAAAGGAAAGTAACGAATTATAGCAAAAGTTTTATTATTACTTATAAATAATATTACTTGCTACCCAAAGTCTCCATAACAACAAAGTGAGATGCTGAAAACATTTCTTTAATTTGTATTCTGAAACTTCAGTAACGTACCAAGGAAAAGAAACTTCTATGGTCAAAGAAGCTCCAAGAACATGCTAGCTTTTGGATGGAGGCCTGCCTCTGTCAGCGTCATTCCCATCTGATCAACACTAAACACCTTTCTTGGGAAGTTAGAAATTAGCCTGTAATTGCCGCCAACTCCAGGCAAGCCTAATGAATTAATGTACCTAAAAATTGCTTGAACCTTGTCTGTGCTCAAGAAGCTGTGTTCCCTTCTCTCCCCATTTGGAAACCTTATCAATATCTACACAGAAAGATGAGGAGTTCATTCTTCTTCAGATCAAGCTCAATGGGCATATGAAATATTATGGACCAAAGCATACTCTTACAAGACTATAAAGAGGATAAGTCTTGATCAAATACCTTGGTTTCTTGAGCATTTCCTTTATGCATAGCTCCTCCTGCTCTTGGGCCATCCTTGATTTGGTTGTTTTGCTGCTTTAGAGGAAGTGGCTTGGTTTTTTCTTGATTAGATGAATTGGAGGCACTTGCAGCTTTTGAAACTCTTTGTTCTGAAGCGAAACTCCTGAGCTTTTCCTTCTCCTGTACAAATGGGAAAGCCTGTTTCCTACTGGTTTGATTCAGACATTAACTTAATCGAAGCTTGACTAATTTTGAGCAAAAGTGCACCTGATCTCTCTGGAGGGCTGTAACATAGGCAACGTCTTGTTCTTCTCTCAATTTACGATCTGCTCTTCTTTTTTCTTCCTCGTTGGCCCTTGCACTGTCAAATGCCAGTCCTTGCTCCTCCATGGTCCTTTGTAGTATCTCCACCAATTCAGCAGGGGAGACTGGACCTTCAATCTACACAGGGCAAGTCAGAGAGTTTCCCTTCTTTCACAAATCAAATACATGTGATGACATATCAATGTATAATGATGGTAAGGAAGTTCAGATGCATCAGATTTTTCATGGAAGAACATGTCTTGAAATTGAAACAACTGAATTAACACTTGAGAATTTCAATGTGAAAACACATCAAAAAAAGATGGAAAAGATGCTGCTTTGATGTATGAGCCCAATCATGGCTAGTAGTCTCCCCTCAGTGCACTATACTACCATTACAAGAGGCATGACCATATCATCAGAAAAGATAAATCTAAACTTTCTTGGAGTATTTTCCTTCTTTTGCGATCATATTCACAGCAAAAATGAGAAAGCAGAATCCCAGGTAGTACGGGCTATAGCTACTTTGACCTGAGATATCAGCCAACACCTAATATTTGGGGATATCTTTGTTCCTATTTGCTGATAATTTAATCTGAAATGCAGGACAATTAAAATCTTTTTATACTGAACCTTTTGATTGTACACAAAACCAACTAGTTTAGGCAATAGGCATTCTAGTCATGTTGAGGTTTCATATTCAGGTGCACATAATGAACAAATGTTAGGCTTATAAACATTTCAAAACGGAATGAAGTTTCTGTATAAAATTTCCTCTTACCTGTCGCAGAACTGCTAAATTGCCAGCAGAAGCTGGAGCAACCACAGCACAGAATGGGAAGTTGGAGACCCTTAATGTTGAAGCCAAATGGAACCCCTCCCCTCTGTTTGCAAGTGCTCCCCAGCTAATGAAATTTGCATCAAGAAACTGAACAACCAGCTCAGAACCTAAAGTCTCCCTGCAGAAAAAGGGAGTGAATTGGTGCTCAGGGGACTGCAAGTACAGGAAAATGAACTTGTGCTCTTCTTGAGCCATCTTCAGAGCATCCATGAACCGACAAACGTAGAAAAATGGATGATTTGTGCCATATTCCTGCTCCAGACTTGCTAGAAATGCCCATTCCTCTTGTACCATCGGTTGCTGCTGAAATTCTGTGAAGGTTGATTGAATGGATCATTCACGGGAGGATCTGATGAGGGATATTGCTCAAATGGAAAATCTGTTGCTAATGGTAGATGATGATGTTGATGAGGATGGTGTCTTCTTCCTCCTATTCGAATAAAGTCATACCTTGTCCATTGCTCTGGAAACACCCCTAAAATGCTCCTGGGAAGGCTTACCATTCTACGAACAATTCCATTGCAGGATGATTCAATTGATGATCTTGAATTTCCTCTCATCATTGATGACATTATTACTACTGCTACACAAAATTTCAGTGATGGAGAAGAGTTGTCTTCTAAGATTTGGCAAGAATATAAGGTGAAAAGCAGGCTGTAGCGTAAGAATCCTATGTTATGTTGTAATCAAGCAGATGCCAAAGAGACCTGCAATTTTGTCAAAAATTGCTACTGTTATAATCAACTCAACTTTGGAATTTTTAGCTTTTTCAACTTTATTCAGAGCAGTTCAAGGATATTGAACAAGATTGTCTCCTGGTCTACTTTTTCCTTGTCTGCTGCTTGTACGTAGTGATAGAGTTCAGATAACATGCCTTGGCCCAAGGTTCCATCCTAGAGTAATGTGAGAAGGGAACAAAAGATCATTGGGATAAGAGTCAAAATGGTAATTATGGTATTTTTATTTTTAGGATTGTGAGGTGATATTGGGCATTCTTCTATTTGTTAATGGCACTTTGTTACTTTTATAACATCATAATAAAACCTCTCATTTATGTGATATCTAATGAAAAATTGGCAAAGGGAATGATAAGAATGTACAAATTAAGCACATAAATGAAAAGCAAAAAGGTGAAAGAGCCATACAATATCTTTATCACTAGTGTGACTTTCGGGCTTATTGTCTGATCTTAATTCTTGAGTTCATTTTGTTCAAAAAATAAAAATCTTAAGTTTATGAAATATATTGATTGACAATTATAATTATTTTGACTTATTTCTTCATCTTTCCTTTTTTCCCCATTTCCCCCCTTTTGGAGCTTGAAGGTAGACACCTCTTTCCATTGCTTTAACCCAAAAAATCTAGCTAAATTTAAGTGGTTTTTAAAAAGAGAGATTTTATCGTTGATATGTCATGGATAACTCTCAATTTTGTTTCCATCTTGTAGACTAGAACAAACTATGGAGTTCTTGGCTTCTTGCCCTTTCCTTTGTTTTGGGGGGGGGGGGGGGGTTTCTCCTTTTTCTTGTTTCTTTTCCATTTTGCAGCTATGTATTATGAAAATTTTAAGACAGTAAAATATTGGGAGAGCCCTATCTCAAGTGGTGACTACTTGTGGAACTGGAAGGCGTGGTGCTAGCTAGTAGAGGAGAAATGCCTCTGATGGGCTTTTGGATAACAGAAGGCGTGGTGATGTTCTCATATAAAAAGACCACGCCTGTTGAAATTGCTTGACTGGGAATCGGTAATACAACAGATTCTGGAACCAAGGCAAACTCTTCAAAAATGTTCCAGCAGAGATGAAACGACATCACCCACTTTGACAAATAATAAGGCATTTTGTTTTTTTTTTAAAATTAATTCTTGGTTAATCTATTATATAGGCATGAGGGCGTTTGTTCCAATCATAAACTTTATCTATCTTAAGAATAGATTGTTTAGAATTATAAAAAAAAAAACCAGCTGATGATATACAAATTATCTCTCTGGTAAGTTGTTTTAGCTTTTTTCTTTTTTCTAGAAATTTATCGTTCAGTTTAGCATGGAATAATTGTTTTCTTAAATTTAGAACTATATGAAATATAATTCGAATCTTAACTAGTACAACTTTTACATCATAATGTCTCATATGGGTATTTAATATTCCTAATATTTTAATCTAGAATGTTTTTTTTTTGTTGAACAACGTACCAAATAATCTCAAAAGTTTCAAATATAAGAAATCACAAGTAAAAAATATATCTATCTCTATAAATTTAGATTAATGAAAAGATAAAAAAAAGAAGTGAAACCATCAAATGTATTAGCATTATGCTTTCGAAAAATTCCCAAGAAGCTAGCTTTCTAGCATTATGCTTTTGGAAAAGAATTCTTCAACAGCAAATTTTCTTACATCAAGCGTTAACGGAGGGAAATTAAGGTTATTAGAGTATGATTCCAAGAACTATTACTCTGATGCTGATCCTAGAGTTTCAATGACAAAGCATATATCCTGCTTTTTGATTTCATCACTCATATGATTTATCTGAATAATACAAGCGTGGAAAATTATGACAGAAATTTAGTCATTTGATGTAGTAATTGCTTTTGAACATCTAATAAATGAAACCTTGCAACAGCATAGTGACACAGCTCCTAAGAGTTTATCTGATCAGGGACCTGATAAGGCCGCTGCAAATCCATAAGAAGTATCTTTATAACTGGTAGACTTCCTAGCATTTGCGCTATACTTCCTGATGGCAAAATCCGTAGTCTCAACGGGCTTCCACATGATCCAGTTTTTTTTTTTTCCTGATATAATGAAGCTGATAGAATTCTTGAAGTATTAAAGTTCCTTTTAGCTGATCAAAGTTTTTGTGAACTAAAAACTAAAACATAGATCGTCCATAGTTTGGTTCTATAACTGAGAATGCATGAGTTTCTTTGTCTTCAAAGAGTTTTTGTCTCATATCTTTATGTTATTACTATGGCCAGGATTTGCTTATCTGTGAGATTTCTGTTGAATCTCGTTTCATTTATTTATATTACTAGTAATATCTATATATAATATGTTGGCTTGTGGTCCCTTTCTAGACTCTTACCTCACCATGGCTGCCACCTGTTGGAGCTGGATATCTATGCTGTTGGAGTTCTTGTTCGAAACGAGGTATGCCCATTGATCCTGTTCATTCTCATTTTACATGTAATTTTGTGTTTTTCTATTTGGACTTAGTGAACTCTGCTTTCTGTTTCTCCTATTATTTCTCGTTCTCTCTGGCCTTGACCTTCTTCTATCCAACATAATAAGCAATTGAAACTAGAAATATTGGTAATTCACTTGGTCATCTCACTATAGCAGATGATAGCAGGACTTTACAAAGTTGAATTGCGTTGCAACTTAAGATAAAGCAAATTTAACATCAAAATTTTTGACATTTCTGAACATAAACGTTTAATGGCCATGCCAACTTTAGCAGAAGCATCAAGACAATGTATCCACTGAGAGGTAGTTATAACAACACTCGATTGAAAGATTGTTCTGCACCTGTGGTTACACCTGAATCAGAAGAGAGATGTACGGTAAAATGTGTCTCTGCCAGGCATTTAGAGGGTGCAATTGCAGGCAATGGGTCTTTTTTTTGGGGGGGAGGGGGAGGGGGGTTAAGTTTTTATGTGTCATTTCTAGATTGAGCCATGCTAAATGTAGCATTTCTGAGTGTCTAGCATCTGATTTGATCTTATAAACTTGGATTATTTCATCTGCAGGGTAAGTCATCTGGGACTGAGATTGAGCAGAACAAAGATACTGTAGAGGTATACTTCATTTGGTATTTGAAGATGTGATTTCTGGCTAGGTAGCCGAGCTGACCTAATTCAGTTCTCTCTTTCGGTGAAGTGAAATTAGGAAGCAGGGGTGCTGTTCCGAAGTGAGAGGCGGGGCTTTGTCCCCTGGGATCACTCTGACGGTCAAGTCAGTATAGAGAGAAAACAAAGAGTAATGAACAGTATGAGCGCAACAGTAGTTTTACTTGTGAGGAGTGAACAGGGGGTATTTATAGAGTGTGAGAGTGGAGGGAAGGACAATGGGTTTAAGCCACTGGGTCCCACTTCCTGAGGATTACGGCTCTGCTTTGCACCTGCGGCCTCTGTTCCTGACAAGGGACAGTAGTTCAGGCACCTTGTCAGGTGGTCCCGCATATTCCCAATAAAGGGTTCTAGGGGCTTCAGTTAAAGTGGTGACCCTTAATGACCTGTCAAGCCAACTGACATCACCCGCGTGCGGCCGAGATATGACGGCTATCTGGGTCATAAAGGCCGAAGCTCACAAGATGCCGCAGAGGTCTAGCCGAGATCTATTCGAGGTGACAGGAAGAACCACGGCCATGGCACCACTTCGGATAAGACGATCCGAAGTGACCGCCTTCAATAAGCCCCCAAGCCTCGAGAGCGCGGAGGCTTACAAGGTCCCGAGGCTACAGTATACCGAAACCGTTTAGCTTCTGAGGTCTCAACGTGTACCAGATGGTGAGGAGGCGTGACACGTGGGGAGTCAGTTGAAAGGACATGGTGAGCAGAGAGATTATCGGTAACCGTTGCGACGTGGTATAGTGGGAGGCTACGTGCAGAGAACATGGCAGTTGAAAGGACGGGACATTAATGAGGAGAGAGAGAGACGCGTCCTTTTGAATTTTAAAGCTGCCGCCTCTTCACATTCTTGCTGCCTCTTCGTATTCCCTCTAACCCCTATAAATGGGGGGTCCCTTTTACCGCACTATCCATCATTTTCCCTCATACTTCTGCAAATTCGAGAGCGTTGCCGAGATCAATTTCTTCAGTCGACCTCAGCCGAGATTTTCGTTCTCGTCCGATTTCCTAGTCAACAGTAAGTACCCTTCTTTTCATCTCATCTTTTATACATGGCTAGAACAAGTAAAACCCACAAAGAAACCATGAAACCGAGCTACCATGCGAGGAAGGGCTCGATCCCCAGAAGACGAGATCTCGTCCAGTTCTGAGGAACGAACGTCCAATGCCTAGGAAGAAACCGCCGAGACCACCCCGGAAGTGGAATCTTCCGAGATGAGCGAGGATGGCTCCGAGGTCGTATACAATGATGATCTCGGAACCGAAATCTCCCATGACGAGGGCGTGCTGGAGCCAGTCGCTCCGAGGGACGTCTCCCTCATTGACTTCGGCAAGATGCTGATGTTCAAGAGCCGCGTCGGAGTAGATAGAGCGAGAAGGTAATACGAAAATACCCCTTCAGGGCGGGGTATATTATAAGGTCGTCTGGGCCGAACTACTCAGCCGAGAGGCTCCCAATGGGCACAGTGGCGATCTACTTGCAGCAGTTAGAGGTTGGGCTGAGGATGCCGACCTCAAGATTCTTTCGAGATGTACTTCGGCATTTCGCGATCAGGATCACTCAGCTCGTTCCGAACGCGGTCCGCATCTTGGTGGGGTTCGAAATGCTATGCCGACATCAAGAGGTGACCCCCACGGTTAATCTCTTTCTCCGATGCTACACCTTCAAGGCACATGGGAAGGATAAGGGGTGGTTCTACGTCTGCAACCGGAACAATTCTATCCCAAAACTCGTAGTCGACGCTCCCACTTCGATAAAGAATTGGAAGCGCGACTTCGTCTTCATCCCAGTCGGGGACTTCCCCTGGGGTTTCTTGTGGAAGCCCATCAAGGCCAAGAAGGACCCTTCCCCAGGAGACACGGACGAAGAGAACTTTCAAAAGTTAATGGGGTCAGGCCTTCGGATCAACAGTTGGGATTATCCTGAGGCAGTTCTGGTCGATGGGGGAATCAGCCGAGGTGCCATTGATCCTGAGAAACCCCCCTTCTTTTCCACTAGATTTAAAAAGTCTTGTAACTTTTCTTTCTTAACCTTCTCTTTACTTCGGCTATTATAAATAATAATGTTTGCTCTTTGTGCAGTGGTTAAAGTATCCGACATCATCAGCTCCGGCTCAGCAGAGGTGTCTAAGAGACCGAAGAGGAAGAGATCGGGTGAGACATCGGCACCGCCGCCGAAAAAGAGACAACACAAGCGCCAGTGGTCAAGACGACGTTGGCCAAGAACACCTCGATCGCGGCGGCCAAAAGCAGTTCGGCCGCGGCGGCCAAAAGCAACTCGGCTGCGACAGCTATGGAGTCCACCTCGTCAGCACCAGAAGGGGTGGCGACATAAGGAGTCACCGTTGCCCTACCTCCTCATGGCCGAGGCAAGCAGGTGAAGTCCTCGGTCATGCCGATCACGGGGTCTTCGTTGTGGAACCGTTTCCATAGCGCACCTCGATTTTTTGGGCAAGACAAGACGCACCTCGATTTTTTGGGCAAGACAAGACGCACCCCGATACGCACTGGTGCCCGAATTGGCAGCTCTCAATCAATGACCGGTGTACCCAGACTCGTGCGGCCCAGGAGTTGGTTATGTTCTCCAACTTGCCGAGGGATTTGGAGTGAACCGAGAAGCTGACTCCTCAATAGGTGATCCAGAGCCTCATGGTGGCAACAGTTTCCGCTACGACTTTTGTGGTCGAAATGGCACGTCGGTATAGCGACCTGCTCAAGGAGCAAGACTCTGGCAAGATCCAAGATAAAATAGAAAAGTTGGAGAAGAAGCTGGCCGTGTCGGAGTCCGAGAAGACTGAGTTTCAAAATCGACTGCAGCAGGCTGAAGCGAAGGAAGAGGAGGCGAGGCTACCATAAACAACCTCAGATCGACTCTCGAAGAGGAGCAAAAGAGGGGGAAGAGTTGAAGAAGTCCTACCAACAGGCACTAGAGGATGCCGGGGCCTCGGCTGTGGAGGCTTTCAGGAGGTTCGAGACCTTCACCAAGGATTTCGGGGAATTGACCCTGCCGAGCTATATGTTCGGCTACACCTCTGCCATTGACGAGGTCGCTCCTCACCTTTCCTCCGAAGACTTGGATTCCTTCAGGAGTAAGGCCAACTACAACGAGAACTTCAAGGAGCTGTGCGACCGGATGGCTGAAGGTATCCAAGCTGGACGAAACTTGGCCGAGGTCCGGGATGAGTTCAACAGATGACTGTCCGAGATTGACCAAGAGCTTGAGGAGGGAAAGGATGCCGAAGAGGTGAGGTCGGCGGAGGTGAAGCTACCGGTGAGGATGAGGTCAGCGGGGGGGATTGGTGAGAAGGAAGTCGAAGTGGAGAATGCTTAGAAACTTTCTTAACTTCGACTCGTTTTGTAAACAAATTACCTTGTAGTGATTTCTTCTTTGCAGTATCTAATGAAATGAATGGGAGCTCGGCTCTCTTTTTCTTTTTCACTTCGTCCCTTATTCGTCCTCCTTATTTTTAATAAGCAGCAACGGGTACTAAAATATTAAAAAATAACCGAGTGATTGAATAACCAACAAGTCATTACATTTTTTAAGGATAATACAGCCTTAGGTTCTCTGCATGCCAAATTCTCGGCACTAGAGAACCATCTTGGTAGGCTAATTTACAATACTCACTTAGGCTAGATTCCACAACTCGGTAAGGACCCTCCCATTTTGGGGCTAGTTTTCCTTGCGGTTCAGCTCGACTGACCGATTTTTTCGGAGGACTAAGTCTCCTGGCCAGAATCGACGATGCTTAACACGGGCATTGTAGTGACGGGCCAAGGTGTTCTAGTACGAAACCACGTGTGCTAAGGCGAGGTCCCTTTTTTCTTCAATGAGGTCAAGATCCGTCTGTCTTTCTTCTCTGTTTACCTCGGCGCGTAGGCTGCCATTCGGGTTTAGGCGCAAGGATCTCGGCGGGAATGACAACTTCGGAGCTGTATGTCAAGGAGAAGGGGGCCTCTTGTGTGGCCGATCTCAGCGTGGTTCGGTAAGACCACAAGACACTTGGGAGTTCCTCTACCCAAGATGATCCTGCTCGTATAGTCGGGTCTTCAGACCGTGCAAGAGAGTTCGGTTAAAGTTTTTCGCTTGACCGTTGGCTTGAGGGTGACCTACCGAAGTGAAGTGCTGCTTGATGTCGAGGTCCTGGCACCAAGTTTTAAATGGGTTATCAGCGAACTGCTTTCCATTATCCGAAATGATCATCCGAGGTATGCCGAAGCGACAGATTATGTATTTCCAGAAAATTTTTGGACCGCCAGCCCCGTGATGATTCTTAGAGGTTCAGTCTCGACCCACTTGGATAAGTAATCCATGGCGGTCGCAAGGAAAGTATAACCTTCGATAGCTTTGGGAAAAGGTCCGATGATGTCTGTCCCCCACTGCTCGAACGGTCAGGGCGAGGTGATCGGAACCATAAGGTTCGTGAGTTGATGGTGTTCGGAGGCATGGACCTGGCAAGAAAGACAGCTAAGTACGAGATCTTGAGCGTCCTGTTGAACGGTAGGCCAATAATATCCGAGGAATAGGGCCTTTTTGGCCAACATCTTATAGCCGATGTGTGCCCCACAGAGGCTCTCGTGTATCTCCTTGAGAATACAGAACCCTTCATCGGTGGGAATGCACTGTAGCAATTGGCCAAAATAGGATCGTTTATATAACTCGTCGTCTGGGAGGGCGTAGCGGGCGGCCTTGCGTTGTACTCTCTTGGCCTCAACCCGGTCTTCAGGGAGGATTCCTTGGCCCAAAAACAGGATGAGTGAGCTCATCCATGTGTCTCCCGAATGCACAGGGCAGACCACTTCCTCCAGGTACTCGGGTTCGGTCACCATTTCTACAAGAACCGTCTTGTTGAGAGCCGAGAACGAACTCGCCTATTTTGCGACCGAAATATTATTTGGATTTGAAATAACTCGAAATATGCAGCGAGTTGGTGAACTTTAAAAAGATACCGTTGCATGGTTTCTCCCCTGACTTCGTATTCGCCAAGTACTTGGCATACCACAAGTTGAGAGTCACTGTAGACTTGGATTTGTCGAGAACCGAGTTTGCGGGCTAGCCGAAGTCCCGCAATCAAAGCTTCATACTCGGTCTCATTATTGGTTGCAAAGAAGTCAAACCGGAGGGTGTACAAGCATACCTCTCCATGGGGATCTTCTAAGAGCAGCCCTGCTCCGCTGCCATCACTGTTGGAAAATCCGTCCACATACAGCGTCCAGTTTTGAGGCCCGAATGGTGCTAAGCTGGCGTCTTGGCTCACGGAGAACGTAAATTCGGCTAGAAAATATGCTAATGTTTGGGCCTTGATCGTCGTACGGGGTTTGTATGACAGGTCATATTCTCCTAGTTCGACAGCCCACTTGGTAAGGCGTCCGGAAATCTCGGGACGCACCAATATCTGTCGAATAGGTTGATCAGTTCTGACTGAGATAGGATGGGCCAGAAAATAAGACTTTAATTGTCGAGTCGCATGGACCAATTCCAGCACTAGTTTCTCCACCTGAGTGTACCGAGTCTCCGGCCCACGGAGAGCTCGGCTGACATAATAAATGGGCACCTGGGTACCATGGTCTCGGATGAGCACCGCATTGACAGCCTCATCAGCCGCGGAGAGGTACATGTATAACCTCTCCTCAGGTCACGGTGAGGCGAGGGTAGGGAAGCGGTGTAAGTACTCTTTCATCTGATCGAAAGCCTGTTGGCACTCCTCAGTCCAGGTGAATCGATCAGCTTTCTTCAACACCTTAAAAAAGGGTAGAGCCTTCTCGGCGGATTGGGAGAGAGCGGTTCAAGGTGGCCATTCAACCTCTGCACTTCTCGGACATTCCGAGGCCGTGACATGTCCTGAATAGCCTTCACTTTGTCAGGGTTCGCTTCGATACCTCGGCGAGATACCAGGTATCCCAGAATTTTTCCGAAATGACACCGAAAATGCATTTCTTCAGATTCAGCATCATTCGAAAATCTCGGAGGATGCTGAAGACCTCCTTCATGTCTGACAGGAAGACCGAGGTGGTCCGGTTCTTCAGGAGGATGTCATCCACATAGGTTTCCATATTTCGGCCGATCTGATCTTTGAAGATTCGGTTGACTAGCTTCTGGTAAGTGGCCTCGGCTTTCTTGAGCTCGAAAGGCATTGTTGTGTAACAATAGACACCTCGATCAGTGTAGAACGCCGTTTTCTCCTGATCCTCTTCGCTCATTTCTATTTGGTGGTATCCCTTAAAGGCGTCTAGGAAGTATATGATCTTATGTTTCATGGCCGAATCAACGAGAGCATCTATTCTTGGCAGTGGGTAGCAGTCTTTGGGGCATGCCTTATTGAGATCGGTGAAGTCCACGCACATTCTCAACCCACCGGCGTCCTTCTTCACCATCACAGGGTTGGACAGTCAGGTGGGGTATTGGACTTCCCGGATCATCTTGGCGGGCAAGAGTTTGTCAATTTCACCGGAAACAGCTTGCCTGCACTCTAGGCTGAAGTGCCTCCTCATTTGTTTCACAGGACGGGCCTGTGGGTCGACGTTAAGTCGGTGAATCATAGTTCGGGGGCACCCCGACCACTTCTTCAGCGGTCCACGCGAAGACGTTTCGGTGCTCTCTTATCAGGTTGATCATTTCTTCCCTGAGGGGCGATGTGAGGCTTGTTCCCACTTGCATCACTTGGTCGGGTCTCACATCGTCGAGGACCACCTCTTCCACCTCGTCCCCGGCCTCTAGCCTGCTGGATTTTCCGGCGTCCTGGGGATCGATGTAGCCTATGGAGAGGAAGTTCGACCTCTTTCCCTCAGCCTTTGATTCAACTCGAGGGGTGACTGCGACCTGTATGGTGGCGAGGTACCACTCCCTGGCCGCGTTCACGTCGCTACTCACCTCGGCCACTCCAGCGGGTGTTGGGAACTTGAAACTCAGGTGGTAGGTAGAGTACACAGCCCTCAAAACGTTGAGCGTGGGCTAACCGATCAACATGTTATATGGGGAGTCGGCTCTGACCACGGCAAAACTTACAGGGACGGTCCGGCAGTGGGGGTTGTGGCCAATGGTCACCATCAGGGAGACCATCTATTCAGGATGGACCACGTGTCCCCCGAATTCCACAAGAGGGGTCCTGACAGGGGTAAGCTGCTCCTTGGTCAGTTTCAAGCCTTCAAAGGTTTTGTAGTACAGGACGTCTACCGAGCTGCCGGGATCGACATAGACATTCTTGACTATGTAATTATTGGTGAGAACTTCAATCACGAGAGTTTCGTGGTTGCTGGAGGTGGCAGGAACAGGGTCACTGGGACCATAAGTGATCACCTCGGATAGCCTGGAGCTCGGCTCGGCAGCCTCTATACCGACTTGACGGTAGGTTCGTTTTCGGGAGTTCTGTCTGTCCTTTCCCGTCGGACTACCCGCAATTGTGTTGATAACCCTAGCGATGTTAGGGCCGTAGCCCAGGGACCCGTTTCGTGAAGGCCTTTGGTCCTTCCCACGATTTTCAGACCCACGGCAATGACTCTTCATGACCCACCTGTCTTCTCGACGATAGCCTCGATTTTCCCGGTGGGAAGCGTTTCGGTTGAAGCCTCCATCCTTGCTGACGAACTGCTTCAAGTATCCCTGCCTGATCAAGTTTTCGATTTCTTTCTTCAAATCGTTACAATCCTCGGTTTCGTGCCCAACATCCAGGTTGTAAGCACAGGAGAGGCTGAGATTCTTCTTCTCTCTCCTCCCCAGAATCCCAGGAGGTTTTTAAAAAAAGAAATGATCTCTCTCTCTCTCTCTCCCCCTCTCCATCTTTCTATTTTTTTTCAATATTAATAAGATTGTTAAGAAGAAAGAAATTAATACTTTGACTTTTTTTCTTGATACTAAAAAGGAGAAAAATCACTCTAAATTTTTTATTATTTTTATTATGCAAAGAGGAGGGTATTTTCTTCTAAAGTTTTTTAACTTGTTAAATTGATTTAATGGTAGGATAAAGTGCCTACAAAATAACTCTAAGGGATAAATTGATAATAAAATTATATTTTATGGGAGTAAAGTGATAATAATTTTAAGAGTTAAACATGTCTTTTCATTTTAATTAACAAACTCCGTTAAATTTAATCGTTAGTCTTGGGAGTAAAGTGACTAAAAGATAACGTTAAAGGGGAAATTGATAATAATATCAAACGTTAAGGGGGTAAAGTGATAATAACCCTTTATAATTTGTTTAAAAGGTTTAATAATGAAAAGAGAACTTGTTCAAATCAATGTGAACAAAACTTTTGCCCATAACAAGATGCAAAAACAACAGATTTCAACTCACCATTTGCAAGTAACAAACTAACATAATTTCAACTAACCATTATCCTAAAAAATCTTAACAAACTTCTACTAGTAAATCTTAACTAAATCTTCTACTAGCAAAATCTTAACTAAATTATTTGTTAATAAATCAACATCATATCGGTTAACACATATCATAACAACAACAACAAAAGTAACAAAAAGATTTATTTACCTGGTAACTAAATTACCCTAATATAAAAAATAATCTACTATATAAAAGATAATTTAAAAACATGTGTAGAAAAAGTTAGCATATCTAAAAAAAACAAAAAACTTAAAGTTAGCATATCTCAAAAAAAAAAAAAAAATTAAAGTTGATATATCTCAACAATAAATTTGTCTAGTTTCTCATAGGGTTTGAAAATGTCAACTTCCCCTTCTTGCCCCTAGCCCTTGAGTTATTTTTTGGCTCTCATCTTGTCAATTCATCAATGAGATTCTTGGTGAAATTTGAAACAAGGTTTATATCTTTTCTTGGGGCAGAAACAAACATTCTCAAATAAAAAATTGCAAGGAGAAAAATCAACTTTTCTGTGAGTTTAGTGTGTTGATAAAAGTTGAGCTTCCATTTGGGAGAGTTTGTGTTTTTGATCCATCCAAGCAAAGGAGATCAGTAAAGCCCTTTGAGTTCTGTGAAGGTTAGTTTTGTTTTATTTATGGGTTCTCAATTAAATTTTGGCATGTTTTTAGATGAATTTTGGTTTCTGGGTTCTGGGTTTTTTTGGTTTTAGGATAAAATGGAAAAATTTTAACAATTTGTCAGCCTAATTCTATGTTTTAACAGATTAGCAAAACCTTGAGTCCTGTGGAGTTTAGTTTTTTTTTCCTTGCTTTATTTATACGTTCTTGAATTAAGTTTTGGCATGTTTTTAGCTGAAATTTGGTTTCTGAGTTCTGGGTTTTGTTTGGTTTTTGGGGAAATATTGAAAAATTTTAAAATTTTCATTCTAATTCTGATTTTTGAAGGTTTTGGCCCCCCTTCATAACAATGTGGCTCCGCCATTGAGTCTTCACTCTGAGCCTTTCTAGAGCTTCATTGAATGTGCTTGTAGTTGTTTTCTTTCTGAGAAAGTCTTTGGCTAGTAATATTGGTGCAGTTCCACCTAGTCCTGACACAAATTGAGATGAGGTTGTCTTGCCTCAATGAAAAGAAATTTCTTGTGCTTTGGTGGGGTCGCATGTGGTGATTGCAGTATATGTCAAGACTGTTGATATGTGTAGATTGCTTAATTGGTTTATAGGTTTGGATTTAGTTAAAGTTTTCCTTGAGCATTTGGTCTGATAGGCTTCATGAAGTTGCTGGGCAATTGCCTTGCCTAGTTCTTTGCAGAAATGGATTCATTAGTTTGGCTTCACTACTTGACACTTTGCACTTCACTGAATTATTTTTTCAGTGACTTAGGTATTATTTTGATTGTCCTTGATTGTGATTTTGTATGTCTACTCTTGTCAATTGAAGAGTCTTATCATCAAATTTCTGGATGTCGAGCTTAATATTAGTATTTAGGTGAAGTAGGAGATCCATTTTGAAAGATATGGAACCTATGTGTGGTAATACTTGAATGATCATATTTTTATACCTTGATATTGAATATACATATACTTACTATATCATTGTTGGTCTACATAACAAAAACATTGACATCTGTTTAGTGTAAGTTTTCCCGAGGTTACTTAGGCTGTGGATCATTTTCGATTGCTTTCTGAAATTGGGAGCTTAGAATGCTGCTTAGATGGAAACTGAAACACTAGAAGTAGGCTTCTTTGGGATACTGAGAAGGAGCAGAGTTCAATACATTGGAAAGTTACTTTGGTTAATGTTAACAAGTTTTTTCCCCCTTCTTATTCCTACAATTTATGTGAAACAATGTAGTGAAGCAACAAATAAGATATAAATAGTCATTTGCACGAGTTAGTTTCCGACCTCAGAATGCCAAAAGTAGCAATAAAATTGGCAGTTATTCACGTTTCAGGTTGTCTGATCAATCCCAAATTTGCTGGGTGTCTAGCGATTTATGGTAATACATTGATGCAAACAAATGCATATATATATATGTGTGTGTGTGTGTGTGTGTAACATGCTGCGGGTTCAGATTTGGATAAATTAAACCAATATATATGTGCCAGTGTTTGTCTTTGCATGAATTTTAAGTTAATGAGTGAGAATTTTATGATCAGTTTCCTTCTTCTTTTGGAAATCTTTACTACTTGCTAGTTTCTCAATAGATACATGACTTTTATGTTTACCTCATGCTTTTATACAACAATCCATTTAATTACCCTCCTAAACATTTATGTACGCCT